ATTTAACCAACACAAGTTCACTACCAAGCTAAACCACTACAAATTAGTAAAGCTTGCTCTCCCAGGTAGTAACAATGCTTGTCCTTTGTTATATTCGTTGTTCCTTTTTAATTGTATTATTTTTTCTTGTTCTTGTATTATTTTTATTGCGGTTTCTTTCCTAGTCATATTTCCCAATCTTCACTGTCCATTTTCTGTTTCCCGATTATCATTTTATGTCCAAGATCCTGTATTACTTCTACTTCTTCATTATATTTATATTCCCCAATTATTCAGTTTATTTGTGTTGTTCCTATTACTTCAAGATTATTTCCATTTGCTCCAGCCTGTACTGTGTCTTTTCTTAACATTATTTGTATTAGTGCCCTTATTCTGTTTTCTCCGATTCGGATTTGCACGGTTGGTACCATTCTTGATCTTCGTATTGATATATTTCTTCAAAGAATTTATTTATTTTTTCATAAATTCTTATCCACCATTTTTCTTGTTCTTTTGTACTTTTTTCTTCACTTTCTTCAATTTCTATTTGTTCAATCCGTTTCTGAAGTTCCTTTTGGTTCCAAATCTGTTCCATCATTAATCGTTCCTTTATTTGTTCATTTTCTTCTCGTAATTTTTTTACTTCTTTTACCGTTTCTTCTATTCCTTTTATCCCTAATACTGTAGTTCTTTAATTTCCATCTCTTGTATTTTGAATTCCATTTCCTTTATGGTTTTATCTTTCTCCAATATTTCTTTTGCCATTCTATCCTTTATGTCATTTTCCATTTCTTCTACTTCTTCGGCCCATGTTACTTACTGCTTTCCTTTTACTGCTTCGGCATACGTTTTTGATGATCCTTCCATAGTTTGTCATTGTTCGCACTTTTCTTCATATTGGTAATTAAACAATCTTTGCAGAGCTTTATTTCATCCTCTGGTATCCCTTTTTTATCCATTCTTTTAACGGGATGTTTAGTTGTTCTTCATCGAATGATTCTTGCAATATTCTTCGCACTCATTCTTCTTCTTCACGTGTTATGATATTTTCTAATTCTCCTTCTTCCTCGGCCCATCGTTGTATTATTTCCATTTCCTCTTCCGTCCATATTATTCCATTACATACCCATTGGTCTTCTTCTTGATTTCCTTTTTCTTGTTCCATTCCTGTATAGTATTCCATTGCGATTCTCATGATCTTACTTATAATCTCTTGTTCTTTTAAATCGTTTTCCTCCTCCCTCAGTGAACTTTCTTACTAGTTCTATTACTCCCTCTTCATCGTACGCTTCTGTTGCGGCTGCTAATGTTACTTGGCATTCCAGCCCGCATACCATCATGGTGTATGAGTATCCACTGAGTCGTTGTCGTTTATGCATTTCCCTTTTGCATATTTCGCATTTCGTGATTTTTTCTTTCTTCCATTCTTCCGGTACTTCTTCTTCGTTTTCCCATTTGGTTGTCGGCTCGTCTTCTAGGCATATTTTACATTTTCCTTTTCCGTATAATTCAAATGCCAGGTTCCATTCTCCAGCGGTATTTTTACATTTACAGCAATGTTGTTGTTGTGTATTTGGTGTTGATCCATAAATTATTATTTAAAATGTAATAATTAATTTTGCAATGCAAATTTAAGAATTAGAAAATCAAAAAAAAAAAAAAGATGAATTTTTCGTACTCTTCACACGTCGTAAACCAGTATTTACGATAGAACAATTTAATTCTTTTGGGAAATATAGTCAGCCGTGTAAATATCACAAAACAAAAAAAATTTATTATGTGTGCATGCGCGATAAGATTTTCTATTTACTGTTTTTTTTTTTTTTTAATTTTTTTAAAAAAAATTAAAAATATTGTTTAAACATATCTACACGTATTCTAAATTAATTTATTTACATATTTAAATTAAATTATGGAGCAAAATACTACTAATGAAGTAGTAAATAAAATAAATGAAATTCTTAAAGTTGATTATGGGAAATATGGAAATATGTGAAGAATGTGGAAATAAAAATACAGACAAAGATTGGTGCTTACAATGTAATTCTCAACGTTTCAACAAAATTTTGAAGATTGGACAAGTGAAAATAAAGGTGTTGATGAAATCATTTTAGAGTCCCAATCAAATTGTACTACAACTTTAAATTTTGAATATAGAATCCATTCAATGAAAGATAAAGACATAAAATATATTGATAAAGAAGGCTTTGGAAAATATATTCGGCTATTCGGAAGGAGGGAAGGGTTTACAATTGGAATATTCAGCAAAAACAATGGGAAAGAAAAGGCGAACGGCAAGTTACATTAAAATCTTTAAACATTTCACAAAATATAACAACTGAATTTTTAAATGAGGTAATTTATACTTAAGATAATATTCTTTTGCATTTTTTATATTCATTTGTCTAAAAATCATACAAAGTGTGAAAGGGTAGTACCGTGTTGGGTATTACAAAGATCCTGCGACAAAGAATTATATGTTTGTGATGGATTTTATGAAGGGTGGAATTCTTAGAAATTTTTTAAAATCAATAAATTAAATAATTTACTTAGGTTTATCGAAACCAGATGATGAAACTGGAATTTCTAAAGATAGTAACAAAAGGTTTAGGGAGTAATTCCATATACGTAGAGTTTTACTAAGTGAATTTTTTTTTTACTGGTAATTTCAGATATAGTTCATTGTTAAAATTTTCTTAATATTTTTTTAAATGATTTTGGTCCTTGTCATATTTTTAATTTCATTGTGTTTATTGGTAATTAGATATATCTTTATTTATTTTTTATTTTAAATAATTTTTCAAATAGCATTATTAAATATTAATTCACTGTTCAACCATTTCATTTTATTATTTTGTAATAAATTTCATTGTATTTAAATGTTTTTTACTTTGTTTTAAAAATATGAAATTTGTCCATTAAAACAAAAAAATCCAGAATTGTCAAATAAAACATTAGCAAAGAAATTTAATATTAGTACAAGTACCTTTCCAAAATTCTTAAAAATAGTACCTATTGGCTCAATCTTGATCTTAATAGAAATGAAGCTAAAATGAAAAGGATGAGAACTCCAAAATTTCCTTTATTAGAGAAGGCTTGAATAACATGGGTAGATAATGCTCTTGAGGCCAATTTGACAATTACTGGATTCATTTTAATTTACCAAGCCCAAGAATTTGCCAAACTTCTCGGCATTAGTGATTTTAAAGTATCTGAAGGTTGGCTAACTAATTTTAAAAGATGAGCTGGTTTAAACGAATTTGTACATTATGGAGAAGCAAATAATGCATCTCTCAAAGATCTTCCAAAATATAGAGAAGAATTACAAAATTTATTAAAAGATTGGCCACTAGAAGATATCTTTAATTGTGATGAAACTGGTCTATTTTGGAAAATGGAACCTTCAAAATCCCTTGCCAGAGATGCAATTATAGGAAAAAAAAAGAATAAACAAAGAGTTACAGTTCTTTTATGTGCAAATATTACAGGTATGTATTAAAAAAATTTTTTATCTTTAATAATAATTTATTTTGATTGTACATGAAAATAGAAAAAAACAATTAAAATAAACCCATTGGTATTCATTATTTTCAAACTCCTCGGCCATTACAAAAAATAAAAAAAAGAAGATTTGCCAGTTAACTATTATTGGAATAATAAAGCATGGATGACTACAGAAATCTGGAATAAATTTTTAACTAATTTAAATAATCAAATGAATGAAAAAAATAAATCAACTCTTCTTTTATATGATCAAGCATCTGCTCATTGTAGTGAAGAAAGTTTAAAATCAGAAAAGTTATCAAATATTATACTACATCCATTACCTGCAAATACTACAGCACATTTACAACCAATGGATGCAGGTATAATCCATTCTTTTAAGGCACAATATAGAAAACTTCTTGTAAAATTTAGAATTGATCAATTTAATTTAATGGATAATAATAATATTCGAAAAGACATTAATATCAAGCATGCTATAGATTGGATTGCTGAAGCATGGAATAATATTAGTTGTGATACTATTTTGAACTGTTGGAAAAAGACAAATATCCTCACAATTTGTAGAGTTTGACAATCCAGAAACACCCTCATCTATAGATAGCATTATTTCAGATAGCACAATAACTGGTGATATAATTCCATTTCAACAATATAATAATCAAGAAATTCAAAATTTAATTTCTCAATTGCCTTATGAAGATATCATTAATACAAATGACTATATTGAGATTGATGATTCACTTGAAATTGAAAATATTAATATAACAAATAGAAATATTATAAATTTAGTTCAAAAAAAAAATCAACCAAAAGAATTAAACAAAAATTAGCAATCCAAAGTATTGATAATATCATAAAATTTATAGAGCAAGAACCAGAATTAAAATTAAATAGTAACCAAATAGAACTTCTTTATGGGGTTCAACAAAAATCTTTACAATATAAATAATTACATAGTAACAAGAGTTTTATTTTATATTTATAGCTAAGTAGTCACCGATTAAATAAACTTTTAAAATAAAATTAATTTAATTATTCAATTTTAATTATACCAGTATAAAAATTTTACAAAAAGATGTGCTTTATATTTTTCTACAAGCTTACTTAGTAACATTTATAATGTTAACTTGGTAGATAAAAGGTTAACTATGCAAAAATTTTCATAATTTAAATTATAACAAAAAAATTTTTAGAAAAGGATACCGTGTATAATTGTTTCTTTTAAAAAATTAACCTGTGCCTGGAAAATTTTGACAATCTTGACTAATTTTTACAAGAAAATCAGTTTCACAAGTGAAATTTCTTATATTGAGAGTTAACCGTATTCTATTTTAATTAATTAATAGTAGATATACATAAAACCCAAGTTCGATGTTTTTAAATAACACGAAGATTTAATGAATGAAGTGCAGTTCATTAGTTATATAATTTATGAACGGATGGATTATGTGTTCATATTAATTCATTCAATTTATTATATATTTATTATTAGAATCAATTAAAAGTCAAATATACGAATTCTATAAATCCATAAGTCCATCATTACAAAATAAATCATCACAAAATATCAACTCGAGAATGTAAATAAAAATTTGATTCGTTAAGAGAAAAATAAAGAAATTAATAGTTGGAAATTTTTTTGAATGATGTGGAGAGAAAGAATTAGATTGGATCAAAGAAAATAAAAAGTATAGTTTGTATGTTTTATTTATATTCAATATTAAATTATTTAATAATAGAGAGAGTAAAAGATGAATATCCAGTCCAGAAGATTTTCTTTATTTATTATCTACTTTATATTTATGACTATATAAATGGACTATCATTTGAGAAGAATAATAATCATCATCAGCAACAAAAGGAAGATTAGATGATGAAAGAAAATGAAATGAGATGAATAAGATTAAAGACATCAAAGAATGAAGAAACCGAAAATCAATTTCAACATTTAGAAGAATTTTTATCATCACATAAAAATTCATTGTAATCTTGGTTGAATGAAACACATGAATCAATTCAATTATTGAAAGAGGAACAGAAAAAAATAAAGTAATATTTTATTTTCTATTTTATTTTATTTATTATTTATTATTCATTATTCAAAATAGAAAATTTCAAGAAATTAGGGAAACACGAATGATGCTTAGAATAATTCGATAATAATTCTTCCTCTTCTTTATCAAATGTTAATAATAATAAATAATTCAACGAATAATATTACAACAAATAGAATTAAACAATATTATTGAATTTAAGTTGGGATGTAGTAAATATTTTATTTTTATTAATCATTCCAACAATTTAAATTAAAATAATAATAATATAAAATAATTTGTTCTTTGAATTCACATCAATTCACCATCGCTGCTACTAATAGTGTTCGAAATATATTTAAAATAATTAAATAAATTAAAATAAGCTTTGTTGACTTAGTTGACTAAAACAAAGTTTTTTATAAAATTTGTTAAATGATTCATTATTTGTAATATATAAATTGTGATATTTTATTTAATAATTACATATAATAATTTGATACTCTATACTTAGTGTTGAGATTTTATAATATCAAAAAATTAATAAATAGTGCATTATAATTTAATAAGTAAAAAAACAAATAAAAAAATCTACAATGTTAAAAATTAAATTCAATAAATATTATGAAATGAAAAAATGAATCTAATATAAAATATAATCTTTACTTACTAGCATTTATTTGATAAAAAGATTCTGTTAATTCTTCAAGTTCCTTTTCAAAATTTTCATTATTCTTAGGTTTTGAATAATTGAGAAATCTACTAGTAATAAATAATAAAAATCAGAAAAAAAAAGAGTAACGCAATATATATATATTCATGAGTTAAAAATAAGTGATATATAATTATTGATTTCTTTTAAAGAATTCAAAAAAATTTGTACGTATATAAAAATTTAATCGTTAAAAAAAGGACATATTTCTTTATTTTATTGATGTTGTCATTTGAAACTAAAAATTTGTTTAAATCAGAGCCATTGCTTTTTATGATATTAATGGTGAAAGAGACTTTTATAAGATAGTTCTTGTGATATTCTTATTCTGGAACGAGATTACGTATGGTTCTTATGTAGATCGCTATCATCTTCGGAACTTTTCGCCATTAAACAAATCAGATAGAAAATGTTTCATAATAATAATATCAAAAATTACACCTCAATTATCTACTACTAAAATCAGATATCCTGTATTAAGAAATTAATTAAAAAAGAAATTTTGATCAAATTATTATATATAAAAAACTAACATCTACTCGGGAACATCCCCATCCTCCATCATGTGTGAAATTTGTTGATTTAATCGCAGTGTTGAATAATAATTTGCTACGCTACTTCATTTTTTTTCATCCTTTTCATAACGTTTTCCTAATAACCAATTGAATTATCTCTATTATTATTATTGATATCTTCAATAGGTGTCCAAAACATAAATAAGGAATTAAGAATTTCATCTGTGATAGTGATCCTTGTATTAATCGGAGGGCAAGTCACATATAATATTGATACAATTATACCTATGCAACTTAAAAAAAAATTAAATTAATATTTTTATTAATATATACAAATAATTTAAACGCTTCTACTTGTACCCTTTGTTGTTTTTTAATATCATTTTGTGTAGGGATTTGATTCGATGCAAGCTATTGTTATATCAATAATAAATATTGCAAGTTATTGAAAAATTATTCAATTGATGCAATTAATGGAAATGGATAATTATACGATATCTTCCTAATAATTCAACACCGGATTGTTTAAAACATTTGCATGATACTAACAAAAAATTCTGTATTTTTTTTTTTTTTGCAAAATACATACAGTACAAAGTAAAATAACGCTTGCAAATTCTTGTTCATTTGAAAAATGTAAGAGTCGAGTTCAAATATCATACTAGATAATTTACTTAACAAGTTCAAGAAAATAATCTTCACGATGCTACTTCAAAACGAAATTTAACTGTACTTTTGCTCAGATTTACAAAATCCTATTTCTTCTAAACATTTCTACTTCTACTTCATCTATTATTTCTACTACTTCTGTATATAGAATTGTTGATAGTAATTTCATGATATCTATCTCTTATTATTATTATTCATTATTTGAAGTTGTTGTTGATGAATTTATATTTATCGAACTTCCTCTACTTTTATTGATTTCATTACCATTATCACCACCATTATGATTATAATTATGCATGACATGTATAATATCATCTGGAAGAATTTAGCCTTCATCTAATTTATAATTTTGTAGGCATTCAATTATTGATATTTTGAACAAATACAAATATTGCTTTTAATAAGTATTGAAGATTTCTTTAAACATAACTATTCAAAGAAGGATATTAGAAGAAATGGTTTTGTGCATGTTTAAAAAATTCAATTTTATGTTTTTTTTTTATCTAAATCAATAATTATAAGCATAAAGCACACCTAACCTAGTAAAAATGTACAAAATGATAAGCGCATGGTTTCTGTATAGCACAATAAATAAAAAAAATTTTCTCTCATAATGATAAGAAACTATTTTTTTCATTGTTTTAAATTTAATATAAATGGTGCAGATGTACGATACAATTATACAAAAATAGGATCCCAAATAATTTATTGATAAATTTTAAGTTTTCGATTGTAATTTCTTTGCTCAGAAAATCTTTACGTGAAATTTGCACGAAAGTTTATAAAATATTTAAAGGAATAAAAAAAGCAATTGCTTGATCCGGCAAGCCAGATTTGAACTAGCGACCTAGAGATATCAGTGTTGAGTTTTGAAAGCTCACTACAGTCTCCCGCTCTACCAACTGAGCTATTGCCGGTTTCGATGATTTGATTTATAATAAAATGGATTATGATCGTGTGCTAAGAAGTCATCACAAGTATAAGCCGAATATACAATAACATTAATGATCTAAGCCCCAAATTTGCCACAACAACATTAATTTCGTAATTTGATTTAATTAAATAATTTCACGTTACATCTTCTCAAACCCATGAACACCACAAACAACTTTTCGTGTATCTTTGATCCAGTAATTTTTTGTTATTTCTAAAGCCTTATCATCAATTTTAATTGCACACAATTTTTGGATTTTCCAAATAAACATGCAAATCAGCTGGTAATTTATGATTTCCAACTTGATTACATCATCATCTTCCAAAATTTCGTTGAAAACGCCGAGAAAGCACCAATTTTGACTGTATTTTTATTCCCACATCTCAGCTTCTTCGGTATCTGATTTATCAGAAATTGAAATTTCATTTATTTCAGTCACTACTTCATGTAATTAATTTGTCATAATTAATATTTATATTAACGTAGTAACGAGTGTTATAAAAATTTTATAGTTTATTGATTGTTTAGTGTGGTGTCTACTTATTCTAATAAGATACAATATTTTAATTTTTTTAAAAAAAAAGAATAGTGAAAAACTGAATAAATAGTAAATTTCATGTCATGAGGATAAATTCCCTTTTTATTTTTATGATATGGCTGACTATAAATTAACGCGATCGTTTATTGATGTTATGGCGTAATGGCCGAGAAATAAATATCTCCGCGAAAAAAAAAATCAGACTTTAGATATTTTAATATATTTTATTAAATATAGTAAATTTATAAAAATGTAAATTATTCATTCTACAGTACGTACAACTTAGTCCAAGCAAATAAAATTTTTAGGTTGCAAATTTCATATCTCGATTTTTAATCACATGAAACATAAAATTTCCAATCTTGTATTCATTTTTTTAAAAAAAAATAAAGGTAAAGTAATTTATTAGTAAAACAATTAAAGAGTGGG